TATATTTCACCTCTGTATCAAAGGCAGTATCTCTGTATACCAGTTGCTGGGGAGGACAATAGGGAATGTCAGTGTGGTGCAGTGGTTAAGAGCACGGGACTGGGACTTAGGCGATCTGGGTTCTAGTCCCCACTCAGCCATGGAGCCAACTGGGTGACTTTGGCCCAGTCACAGCCTCTCAGCCCAACCTACCTCACAGGGTTGCTGTTGTGAGGATAAGATGGAGGAGGAGAGATGATGTGAGCTGCCTTGAGCCCTTTGTAGGAAAAAGGTAGGATATAAATCAATAAATAAACAAACAAATAAATAAATGTGCTAATGCTCTCAGCCCTTCTTGTGGGTTCCCTACAAGGAGGTAACTACCCATTTGGTTTGCACAATCACTGTGGGTTAAATGATTTTGAGGGGAAAATAATCCTCAGAGCACTTATGGCATTCACAATCTTTCCTGCTGCTTCTAAATTGTGCAAATGGGTTCCTGTTTTCTCTTAGTCTCATTTTTTACCATCTAATCCAAGTTTGTGCAGCTTGGCCAATGTGCGATCTTGCCTTGTCAATTTCCTGGTTTTATTTTTTTTACCCACTCCATTTTGGCAAGTCCTGAAACCGACAAGAAAATTGACAATATATGAACAAGAAAAGGCAGCTGGCTTTGTGCTTATGTATTGGACAGCTGGCTTTGTGCTCTTGCACACTTACGAAAGACTGGAAAAATAATATTTAAACAATGAAACCATGTGTACACTTGGAAAGCACTGTTTTTTTTAGGTGACTTAAGATGATATGTGAACCAGACAAAAGAGAGGGTGCTGAGCACTTTGCCAGGGCTATTTGAAAGTCCAAAGGTCTGATGAGGTTTCTCTTAGGCAACCTGAACATATAGGAAACTCCCGCATAATACAGTTGGAAGGGAAACCACAATCACCCAGCCCAGTACAATAAATACATATTAACTGGAACTAAAATGCGTTTGAATGATACAAGCCCTGGTGCTAAGGGTAACCACATGTAAATTCAAAAAGGACTGGGGAATTTAAAAATAAAATGTGACATGCACACTGAAGAAAAGCTGTGGCTGCTGACATTTCTTCTGTTATATAACTGTTAAAGACACATGATTCCTCCCTTCATATGGGTACCCTTATGCCAGGGTAGTGAAAGGGAATCAAAATGCAATGGAGGTGGAAGCATGAAAGAAAAGACACGTTTTAAGGATGGGGGTGGGGGAGATTAGAAATAGGTGAACCAATACAGATACCAGGGAAGAAGAAGTTGCATTATGTTCCATTATCGAAAATGAGCAAGAAGTATTCAAGAAGGAAAGAGGGAAATTCCATTTATCTTTAAATGAAATGTCAGTGTTTGTCCTTTTAATGTATCAGTTTAAGAGCTATTTATAGGCCCATTAGACTAAGTGACAAGACCCCAAATGCATATGGTTGGCTGTAGGTCACTTTTTAAGGTATATTAACAGTCAAGTGTGTACACAATGGTGAAATGCCAATCAGGTGGCATGAAAAATAAGTTAAAAGCCCAACATAAAAACTGTTTAACAGAGTCCAGACTGGCATGGAAGAGAAATTTCCAAACCCACATTTGGACAATAACTTTATTGATCAAAAAGTCATAAAATATTTAGCAACCTTTCAATTCTTCACTACTCTTCATCAGGCTGGATGCCATGCAAAATGGGCAAGGAATATGAACCCCAAAAATGAGTATCATCAAGAACAAAAGATTGGCATTGCACTGTAGGCACAGCATTCTCCAACCTTCTACAACTCAGGCTGTGAAATTACAGTTGTTGTCCAAAACATCTGGATGAGATCAAGTTGAGAAAGGGATCGTAAGATCAGTCTCAAAATGGAGACCATGGAATAGATTTGACTTTCTGCTCTGGGCTGCGGCTGTTCCAGTTTACACCTAGGACTCTGTGTGCAAAAAACCATATCGAAGTCCAGCAGGTATCCACTCTGTCCCCAGCTTTAACCAAAGCACACAGAATCCTTATCAAGCAGACAGCAGAAGCAGAGAACAGGACAGGAGACCCTTAAAGGGTCTTTAGGGCCACCAAGTCCAACCCTCTGCTCAATGCAGAACTCAGGTAAAGCATCCCTGACAGGTGGCTGTCCAGCTGCCTCTTGTATGCCTTAGTGTGGGAGAGCCCACAACCTCCATAGGTCATTGGTTCCATTGCTACACTGCTCTAACAGTCAGGAAATTTTTCCTGATGTTCAGCTGGAATAAGGATTTCTGTAACTTGAGTCCATTATTCTGTGTCCTGTGCTTTGGCATGAACTTGAAGAGATCCTAGCTTTCCTCTGTGTGACACTCTTTCAAGTATTGAAAAGTGCTATCATATCTCCCGAGTCTTCTCTTTTCAATGTTAAACATGTCCAGCTCCTTCATAGTACCGTACTTTGTTTCCAGTTTGTGAATCATCCTTGTTGTTCTTCTCCGAACCCTTTCCAGCTTGCCTGAGTCTTTCTTAAACTGTGGTGCCCAGAACTGGATGCAGGACTCCAGATGAGGCCTAACAGCACTAAGGTACTTCATGGGATTTGGAAGAGATACTTATCTATTAATGTAGCCCAATATGGCTTTTTTTTTTTTTTTTTTTTTTTTTCAGCCACATTCACATTGTTTACTCACATTCAACTTGTGATCTACAATTCCGAGATCCTCTTGCTTGTAGTATTGTTGAGCCAGGTACCACCCACCTTGGAACTGTGCATTTGGTCCCCCTTTCCTAGGGATAGAATGTGGCATTTGTCCCTACTGAATTTCATCCAATTGCTTTCAGCCCAGCACTCCAGCCAGTCAAGAGCACTTTGAATTGTGTTTGTGTTTTCCATGGTGTTAACTATCTCACCCAATTTTGTGTCACCTGAACACATATGATAGTCTTTCCATTACTGGCATAGGAGCCCATGTAGTAATAAAGTCTTTCTCCCTAGACATGCATAGGATTAAAACCTTACGGTGTAATCTAAGAGTGTTTACTTTTATGAAGACAGGGGACTGACTTTCATGAAGTGAGAACCACTTGTGTGCTATCGTCAATGCACAGGTTCCAAAACGGTCCCATTAAATTCGGAAGGAACAAAAAATACTTTTTTGTCATACTGATCAAGGTTTTTATTTTATTTTTATGCTGGGTTTCATCACTGTCTAAAACAGCTGTGAGGCCAGATCTCGCAAACACCTTATTGTCCTAGCTCCATTTAAAATGATGCTTTCTCTCTCCTGCATTTTTAATATATGAAGTGTGGGCTTTGTAATTTCCTTTACCTTGGCAAATTGGAGACACAGCTTAAGTTCAGAGACGGATTTGTTTAGCGCCACCCACTCATGTTCACAGCTCCTTGACTGAACAGGGATTTTTATTTCAGTCCCTACCTCCAACATTCTAGCCACTGTGCAGTGTTACCATTTAGCATCCTTTGAGTGTGATTACTCTTCAGAGCACTTACCTTACCTTACTGGACCTTCCTTTGAGTAAACCTGCACAGGACTGGGTTATAGGGCTGCACCCTTATTCAGGAGCCCCACTGAAGATGGAGGAACTTTTGTCTGAGTAAACATATTTAGGATCAGGTTTCATCCTAAGATATTCTGCTAGGAAGCAAGTCCTAATGAACTCTGTGGGAGGAAACACGCAAAGGATCAGGCTGTAGGACTAGTAATCTAAAATAAGTAGCTGATGTCCCTAATTAGGTGCCATGCTTTTACAAGACAATGAACTTCCCATGTATCTTTATAGCGGTTCCCATACCATCCCCCAACCCCGATTTTCAAAGTCTTTTCCAACGTTGTTCCGTAAACCAGACGGCGTCTTGCAGATTTTTGCAGGACTATGCGGCTTGCTTTAATTGACCAGGAGACACGGCAAGCACGTATTCCGCTGTACTCGGGCACGACTAGCCTCCCCTGCCTGGGGGCGAACAAAATGAATGTGAAACGTACTGGCTGGTGCCTGTTGATGTTGGTTCTTAGGACAGCAGCTTTTTAACAGCTGGATCGGCGAATGGCAATCCAACAGGTGCAGCTTTACTTAACCGTGTGGGTGAGGTGATGGGGAAAGCTGCACTTGCTGAGCTTTCATGCAGCTGCTAAAATCACCGAGCATGGCAAGGGAAACCGGGCAACCTAGCGGGCAGACGCGTGCTAAATCATGCCTACCATCTCAATATGTTAACACACCGTATGTTGCAAGGATTACAATTGATTTAACTCACAATCCCCGTAAGGTGTGTTATTGCAGGAACGGTGTATGACCACAATCCGGTATACATTTACTCGGGTTTAAGCAATCTTAAACATGACTTACTGCCGAGTGTTGCATGTCTGGAGTTAAGTTACGAATCATACCCCACGACCTCAGACCTACCCCTCTCGGGGAGATGCAGGGAAATCGTTGTTTTGCACGCTGCTCTTTTTCTCCCAAGAAACCTCTTGGCTGAATCAGGAAATCGAGCCAACGGAGGACGGAGCAAATTCAACACCTTTTCATGTCAGTGTCTAAAGAAAATGAGGTCTGAGATCTTCCCCCAAGGTCCCTGAGCCAAATACGAACCGTGAGCGAACACACACGCACTTCCCTTCCTACAACAGCCTTTGTCCTCCCAGATCCAAACAGCCACTTCCACTTTCTGTCCGGAAAAGGCAGCTGCTCAGGGAGCCGAGTGGAAGAAGGTAGTCGGCGGCTGCATCCCCATCATCACCCGTGGCACGCAGGCGAGGTTGCAAGTGAGCCGTCTGCCTCTGACGGGCTGCTTTTCTACGCTCGAGCAGCAGGAGGCGCTGACGGGCGTCGCTCGCCCGGGCTATGGGCTCCCGGCCGAGAGGAGTCCCTCATTCCCTCTGCCGAAGCACTGAGAACGGGAGGGCTGGCCGTGCGCGCTCGGCTCCTCCCTTCGCCACTCGCTGAACAGCAAAGTAACTCGGGCGGAGTAGGAGCAGGCGCTCTTGTCGCCAAGTGCGAGGAGCGCCTCGCTCCGGATTGCCCCAGAGGGGGGGAAGGACCCCAGCGCAGCCGCCGCGGAGACTTGCTGCTCCTGTTCGCTCCCTGACTGTCTTTCTTCCAGGCAACAGGAGGATCCAGACTGGCCAGGAAGACGAGCTCTCCTTACCGCGCTAGGCGGCAGAGCGCGCCTGAGCTCAGATACCTCCGAAAAGTTCTCCAAACTCGCCATGGCCCCGGCGGTCGGCGCCGTCGGCTTGCTGGCGGCGCTCGCCTCCTTCGTCGCCCCCTCGGCTGCCCTTCTCGGAGCAGCCCGCGGCCAGTTCTCCGCAGGTAAGGCGTCCCGTTTCCACGGGGAAGGGCCGCCTCTGGACTTTCCTCCCGATCGGGTTTGCGCGCGCGTGCATGCGTCTTCGGTGCCTTTCTCGACTCGCGTTGGGGCTCGGCTCGGCAGTGGGGCGGAGGGCGGTGGGAGAAAGGTAGAAAGGGTTACTTGGCGCAGGAGATTTTTGCCTAGCGGAGGTCCCGCTGAGCTGCTGGCTTCCTTCCCGGGGGAGCCGGGCTGCTCCAAAGGGGCCAGCCTCTCTCGGCCATGGGGGAGACCCCCGCCTCCAGAGAAGGGCGCTTTTCCACCTCTTTGCTTCCTGGCTTTAAAGCGTCCGGCGTTCCACTTCGGATCCTTGGGACATTGTCTACTGTTCTCGGGATCGCCTTGGGGAAACGTTGAGAGGTTCGGGGGGCGGGAAGTGGAATGGTCGGAAGCATTCCCCTCCCCCTTCTCCAAAATCCGGGGCAACACTCGATCCCCTTTCACGATGATGGACGGACGCGAATGACCTTTGTACTAGTTTGCATCTTCGAGGGGGCTGGGGTGTTGAAACAAATTCCGAAATAGTACACTTTCAGCTCCTCAAGCCAATCTTCGCGGACTCGCGCCCTCTCTTTCTCTGTCTCCTAGCTCTGTTCCCAAACCGCCTTCGCGCAGCGTGGTCTGATTCCGTTCTGGAGTCTCTGCCCCCTTTCCTCGCCTTTCTTAATAGTGATGGGAGGCATTTTACTCTCCTTTGGGGGCAAAATCGAAGCTCTTGCGGGCTGGGTTATGCACGATAACGGCGGGAAGCGAGACACCTTAATTAAAAAGGATCGCATTCTCAAGTTTCTGGAGAACTGGAGTCAGTGGCTACTTTGTCCAGACGGTGGAAGGAAGGGCAAACGGCTGAAACCCCCACTACCGTGCACGTGCACTCCCGAGGGGGGCGATTTTCCTGGGATACACCCCTCCCTTTCTTTCCTTCCCCAGATCCCTTTAGCAGCCCCTCTGCCTTTCAAGGCGTGAAAACAGTTAATGTCTTTGAGCTGTTATCTGTGTTGCCTAAAGCAAACAAGCTGCGCCAGCAGCGACAGGCCGGTTCTTTGCTTCTCCCTGTTGACTCTTACATGTTGGGCGAACTTTTGGCAAGGAGGTCGATCCCGGCTGCCCGATCGCACCGGCACACACTTTACCTGGGCGGAGCTGCTGTGGACGCGCAAGGTCCGCTGCCCGGACGTGAAGCACTTGGCGCCCCGGTGTGTGCGGGCGCTCGGTTCTCCCCGTAGCAAGCGTGTTTTACGCAGCTCTTAGCCCAGATTTTGTTTCTGGAAAGGTGGTGATTAAGAGCCAGGGAAAGGCTTTTGCGGAACTGGCAGCGGGGGGGGGGGGGCAAACTGACTGAAAGAAAACGAAATGCAGAAAGTCTCAACAAACCTGCTTGCCCAGTTGAAAGGACGCGAACACACATCCCAGCTGAAGTTCTGGCTTTAACCATTTCCTGCAGCTACGTGGAAAAAGCAGCCATTAATCTTACAGTGTGCACGCTCCCACATGCATCCCACACGGATTTCCTCATTCAGACGAAGTTTGGGATCTGTTTGAGTCCCCCTCTCTAATCCTATTGGACAGACCTCTGGCAGAGGATGTGGAGAGCAGGCTGCCCAGATCTAACCGTGTTGTGTGTGTTGTAGTGTAGCAGTAACTTTAAAGCTGAAATCCTGTACAAAATTTTCCAAAAGAAAGCCTGTTGGACTCATAGAGGGCTTACCTCTATGTAGATACGTAAAGGGTTGTTTCATGAAAGTGCTACTGGAAGGGAAACATTCTATGTAAAAGGCAATAAGCAGTATTTGCAAGCTCAGATTTGGAAGACACTATTTTTTTCTATATTGACAGAACTAAGTGTACATTGATTGGAAGTTTGAATTGGAACACTGTTAAGAGTAAAATTGCCCCTTATTACTGCAGCTGGAAACAACTTTTACTGTAGGTGATAATATTTATTAACAATTGTAGATTAAAGGTGTGGGCGTTCGATACATATTTTGTCCATATTCTCAGAGCATTAGAGCAAATTTCTTTCCTAATCAAAAGATGAAAAAAGTTTTCTTGTTTGTGTGGAAATGTGAATTTCTATTGTATACTGTTCTAGAAAAAAGTGGTACTGTGTTTGGCACCTGTATCACTCTGTCTTTATGCTTATGTCACCCCATAGAAAACTGAAATTTGTGGTTTGTTTGAAACAGTCTGAATGCTGACTTCTGCTGCTGTTAATTCTGTGCTGTATATATGGCTTTTTAACCCAAATACTTGTGCCGCTTTGCTTAGTAGAAGCATTTTCTCTACCCCTCCTCCCATGTCCAAGAGAAGACATAATAACTTCTTATTCTACAAATATATAGTATTTCATGACTTAGAATGTAATGGCTAATGGGTTACATCAGTATACTGGAATTTTACTAGGTGTGGTGTTAGAACAAAGAGAGGGAGAGAGAGAGAGAGCAAGAAATGGGATTCTTAGGGGGTGATTCACAGGCCACCTGTGATGGTGCAAGGACCGAATTCAGCAATTTGAAGTAGTCTGTAAAATGTTCTATTTTTAGGACACTTGAGCAAATTGGAGCTATCTTCGACTCTGCTTCAGATGATGCTTTACTCTCAATATAAGACTTCTTATGATTAGTTCAGTACTTGTCTTCAGATATGCAGCAGTCAGACTGGAAGTCTATAAATTGTGTACTAGGAAAGATTTTAATTCGGAACAGAAATTGTTGCCTTGTTGACTTTTGGTCCCAAACAACAATTTAGGAGTATGTGGTATCTGAGTTTGAGACTATCCCAAATCTGGGTGGTGGTGGAGTTCTTACCAAGAGCCTCAGGTATTCACCCTGTACAATTTTGTTCTGTAAATTTCTCTCAACTTGTTAAGTTTCCGTCAATGTGCTGTTGAGGAAATGGCTGAAATGGCTGTAACATAGAAATCTGAGGTATTGCCAGTTAATGTAGAGATACTGTTTCTTTAGAAAAACCACTTTGTCAAGGACAAAATTACCTTTATTGATACTGAGTAAAGTACTGGAGGTGTGTGAGTCTACATAAAACCAAGTCACATCAATTGGTTGCCAAGTTTTTACATAGTAATTGGTTTTTGTATCTCCTGTCAACTGATTATATAAAGTTCATTGTCATTCCTGTCTAGTGTTCTGTTAAAATGATCTGATTCAGTGTAAATGTTTACTGTCTTGATCATCATTTAATTAACATCTTTAATAAACTCAGCCTAGTAGCTATGACTTCAGTATCTCAGTGATGTGTATCACTGGCACATTAATTGAAATTTTATTGCAGTATCTAGTTTGCTCCTTGAATCAGTTGTCAGTCCAGAGGCAGTAACTAGGCACAAGATAAAATACTGCTGGTTATTGTATCAGATTATGCAGTGTACTGATATCTGACACAAATATGGTCCTTGGGTCTGTGTAAAAAGGGGGCCTCCTCCAAGTGGTATTCTGGGAGATTTGCCCCCCCCCCCTTCCTCCTTGTCTTGCTTAGATTGAAAGGCCTTCCATAGAGGGGTTAAAGAACAGAAGAAAAGCAAACTGAAGAGATGCTAGCAGGGAGAGACTGAGAGCACCATCTCCTGCATGGAGGAGTAGGGAAGGGGAAGACAATTGGGCATGAATTTTTGGATGTGTTTTGTAGGCCTTCAACGTACAGTGGAAAGAGAGTTACACATGGGACCTTTAACAACATGCTGCCATCTGAAGGGCTGTCATTCAAAGCTGCAGCCTGGAGCTGGCCAATAGATCTCTCTGTTGGTGGTGCTAGTTTTTGACTACATAAGAGATCAATGTTAGTATGTATGTGGAGGATATAGGAAATGGAGTGATTGATTATTGGCCTTTTGAATGGAGTTGAAAACTTTCCCTCACTACTGTTGCCTTTTGCCCTGTCGTGGTTCGCCTTCCTAAACAAAGCTGTGCATCTGTTGGCTCCTGAATTCCTGTTCTATATGGATTAGACCATCTCTGATGTGTGTGTGTTCCTGAGAACCATGGAGCCAAATGGCAGGCAGCAGTTAATAAGTGCCTCCTTTTTTATGACTGGAAGTGAAAGGTGACTGATGCTTCTTTGGAACATACCTCTTACTTTTTATTATGTTTTGCCACAACGCTTAATAGAAAGGAACTCTCCAGAGAATGAAGTGGAGGGAACAACCCTTTAAATGTCCAGATCACAGCTGGTGTTAGTTGTCAATGTCATCAGCAGTTTAAATGCCCATTACATTTTTTCAGTTTGCCTGGGAAGATGTGAGTTAATATTATCTTTTTTATTTTCTCATTATAAATCACACCATTTAACTGTTAAAACTAACTTTTGTGATATTAGTCATGATAACAGCAAACTTGTCAGATAGAATTTCTAAAAATTCTGTGGTTTTCTACCAGGTGTATAATACCAAAAATGAAAAACAATGCAGACTTTATTTTGAAAACAAAACTATTGCATAGTCTTTCTAATGTTGCAAGATCCTAATACTAACCAGATAAAAAGGTGAGATTGAACATGTAGAGCTAAAACAAAGACAACATTTAAATTTTATACAGTTTCATACATTTTAGACAATAAATTTAAAATAATAGATCAAATGTTCCTGGGGAACATTACCATGAGTTGAAACAAGATGTGTTAGCTTGGTAGACTCAAGTCCTTATATTTTACATACAGGTGCAGCTTTTTAATGCAAGAAATAATTTGGAAATTGTGCTTCCTATAGTTAGAATGAATTGAATCTCTGTAAATTGATTTAGTTGTAGAATTATAGAAATTAGAATTTGAAGGGGCCAATAAGACCACTGAGTCCAGCATCCTGTTCAGTGCAGGACTTAAAGTTAAAACATTCCTAAAGATGGCTGTCCAACTCCATCTTAAAATCAGGAACTGTTTTTTGCAGACATTGTCCACAAGAGTACTGCTTCTTTGACTGAGGGGATGCTGCATAAGTCAGTGATTGTGGCAAAGT